AAAGCGCGCCTTCAACACAAAAAATATGAAAACGCGTTGGTTGTATGTCTTCAAAGATTCCTAGTCAATCAACCGAACAATTTCCACTGGCCTTTTAGCATTTTATGGTTTTGGACGATTCCATTTAAAAAACAACAAAACGATAGCACCACAATCGCAACAGTATTTCAGATTGATAAGTTAAAAAGGTTAGCTCCACAAAAATATAAAGTTCGATTGGTTTCAGTCTGATAACATAATCAGTGCCAATTTATTAACTTGAGTTTTTTTAGCTTTCGGAACGCTTTCAGACATTTTTGGGATTTAACTGACCTCTATTTCTTTTATAAACGTCATCGTTTTCTCCTTATTTTCAACAATTGCTTACCTTTTTCGCCTATTTTACATTTGTTTTGCCGGAAAAGAAGATTGAATTTAGCAAGAACGAATTAATTATGATGTGAATGTTTGTTAAAACGTGTACGGCTATCAAATGTGGAACGCAGACTCTTTCATGATCTAGGTTAGACTTTTAATTACTTTCAGCGTTGCACGCCATTTTTATTCGGAACATTTTTTCTGGCACAAAAAATGACTTGAGGATGTAACTGCGTCCAGCGTGTCCTTTAAAACGTTACACTATAGGATATCAATTAGTTCTTGAGCGACTATTCGAGTGCACAGGAAAACTTGCATTTTTCATCGTCATTTCAATCCCACCCGGGTTGACGTACATAGAAGAAAAACGCTTATCATACAGTTTCATATGAAATCTATGGAAAAATGCTGGTCATAGAAAAATCATACAAAATTTAAAAGTGTTTTAAAAAATTTTAATGAACATTTTTGGTCTACTTGTCTCTTTTGAAGCGGTCTGGTCATTAAAAAAAATGATTTAAAATTTTTTATAAAAAATGTTTATCATACAATTTACATATATGAAAATTGTATGCTATGCATTTTTTTCATAAAAAACAAAAAATTGAGATAAAAATTTTTTATCCCTTTTTTGGCTGCAAACTTGCTTTTGTGCTAAAATATAAATTCTACGAAAAAAAATTTTGCATGCAAAATTTGACTTTTTGGGTTTAAAACGTAGTCCAGGATGAGTTTTTCACTCAAATAATCCACAAATTACAAGAAAGCGTTTTTTTTCGTAAACACGATTATTATCTTTTGTTTCATTTGCTAAAATGAAAATAACTTTGTAGAAAAACAGGCTTTTTTTCTCAACCATCAAAATTTTCATACTAAAAATTGTCTAGCCATATTCAAAAAGTTACTTTTTTGGTATATAATTCCATGTGAAACTGTTATTATTAACGTGTATGGCTAAAATCATCAAATCCTGTTCATCTGCGTGGTAACTGCCAGTTACACTCTGGGTTGTCTTATGAGAAAAAATCCTTGGTTAGTGTTTCGGTTAAAACACAAAATTGCGAAACAAAAGTTTTTGTATTTTCATTTATGGAAAAAATGCTTGTCATACAATTTCATAGTATGGAAAAAATGCTTGTCATACAATTTTATTTATGGAAAAAATGCTTATTTTGCTATTTTTATACACTTAGTTATGCTCTATGAAACTGTATGAAAGAATAAGATAAGAATTTTTTTTTAGATGTGAAATTTGTATGATAAGCATTTTTTGTCAACCCGGGCAGTAACATAAAATTAAAAAGCTAACAAACAACTGTTTTCAGACAATCAACTTAATCAAAGTACGTCATTGAGCAAAACAACAAAAAATTGTCAGGGCAGCAACAAAATTAGCGGTTTTTTAGACATAACCCAATCGATAACCAAGCGCGTGATATAGAAAAGTGTCAGGGTTCCTGAGGATACACGTGGAACAACGCTTAGAGTTAATTATTAGATAAATTGTTGCCGTTCAATATATTGGACTGATCATACATCATACCGTTAATAAATTGCAATATGATTTAAGTACCAATCTTACAAAAATTGAGAAAAAATTAATTGATTTAAATCAATTAAGGATCGATTATAATCTCTTTTTGAAATCAACTATGATAAATTATAATACATTATAATCTATTATAATCCATTATTTTTATCCGAGTTTTCGATTCATTTGGTTTGCAGAAAAAATCCATTATAATATATTATAATTGCTTATAATCCCCTTTGTTTGTCCATTTTGTCTTCGACCTTGCATATGAATTGCTTATAATTTATGCTTTTACTTAGATCGTTGGCTTATGTGAAAAATGGGTAAAATGTTTTAACAGCTTTCAAATCCATTCAAATTTTTAATGTTTTTATTTTTTCATTTCTTCTTAATTATAGTTGTTTCTTGATGCACAACCTAAATTTTTTTGACCAACAAAATATCAGCACACTGCTTTAGTTTCATGATTTATATAGTAAAGTTATATTTCACCTACCGCGGGATTCTTTTAACTAATTTGAAGGGATCTCTAAGAAACTTTTGTTTTGTGGTAAGACTTTGTGTTCAGATGAACCAAAGAGTGACAAGACATCTCAATTTTGAGATTTTGACAGAAAAAAGGATTATAATTTTAAAAAAAAAGATTATAATAGATTACAAGAAATTATAAGAGATCATAAAAGATTTTCGGGAAAAAATTATAATCAATTATAAATGTTATCATTAAAATGTTATCATAATAATGGATTTTAAATGGTTTAAACATCTAAATTTGGCGCTCATAATTAATTATAATTTTGATAAGAGTATTATAATCGATTATTTTGTCTTTTTACTGAGTGCGGGAAAACTGATTCGCCACAATCGATTTGTTACTACGAGCGAAGTACTTTATTGGGCGTGTACAGGTTATGATTTCCACTCAAAATCTCAAATGAAAAAAAAATTAGTTTCAACTTATTGCATATAGTTTTTTTCCATTTTTTACTGGTCCAACCCCTGTGAGCGCCCATGGGTTCAAATCGATTATAATGGATTCCCGTGACAAAAACAATCCACAGACCACGAAATTGATTATATTGCCATTATAATCTATTATTTTTGAAAAAAAAAATCATTTATAATCCATTATAATCGAATATAATTCACTATTTTTTTAAACTGAAATCGATAATTTTTGCCTAGATATTCCATTATAATCGATTATAATCCATTTTTTAGAACCAAATTTGATCATTTTGCAGAAATTTTTGAAAATTTTGCAGGAAAATTGCAAAATATATGCTATGCCTTTTACTAAATGCCTCGTCCAACGTCACCCCCTCATGTTTTTTACGTCTCCCCAACTAAAGAGGGGGGCGCTTAGCGCTAAGCTGGGGTCAATCATTAATATCCTCCCCAGAGTATACCAATAAATACCCCCCCCCCCCCGTGTTCAACTATAAGGGGGGGGGGGGGGCTAATGGGAGTTCTGGTAAACTGGCAGTCGTGGGGGGAGGGGGTTGGGGTAATGTAAACTGGGGAGGGGTGGGGTTAAGTCAATTGGGGAGGGGGGAAAGTAAACTGGGGGGGGGGGGGGGGAAGTAAAAGCTTGGGGAGGGTAAAGATTAAACCTGAAAACTGACTGAATTGAATGGGAAAAAGTATCCAAATTCAACCCCAGTTAGACCCAGTAAGTAAACACTTTGCTATTTTATGCCACTCAAGTCACCCGAGTTGGTAAAATTCAATAATTTTGACGGGAGAGTGATATATTTCCTGCAATTCAGCTATAGTGGGTTGGTTTTAAGACTCCATAAACACCATCAGGTAATTAGCCTCTCTCCCATTCAGGTGTACAGAGTGCTGCTCAATAAACCTACCAGAAAAAAAGAATATAAAAATTGCGAACATATTGAACTTGGCAATAAAATTGGCATATCACTTTTCAGCGGGGTAAATCGGATTTTCTCGATGGGGTATTTTAAAAGTTTATATTTGAAAATTCTGTCATATTTTAACTTTTTTAAGTTCAACTAAACTGATTTTGCGAGCCGAAACAGTGCAAAAACACTGCTGTGCCAAAAAGTTGAGCAGAATGCAAATTTTTGTAAATACTTCCCAAAAATTTCTTGTTACATCTTGGAAGGTTTCAACACTTCTTTGAAGGTTTTCCCCTCTCAGTCTTTAGTATATATTGGTGCTTAAGGAGCCTCAAGAAAGGGCAGAGAGTAAACCGAAAATGGATTTTGTGAAATAATACCAAAAGTTGGACCCTTTCGGTGGTTAGGGGATCGAAACCCTCAAGCAAGTATTCACCAGCCAACACCCCCCCCCCCCCCCCCCCCAAAAAATCTGTCCCTGTCACTAAATTCAGTATCTTTCGCAATGTATTATTCTAAAGTGATGCTTCAAATCGGCCATGTGAGATTCGATTTTTTGAACCGGGCAGAAATGTGGGTGCCTTAGTCGCATGGCTAATTGAGAAACCATTTACCAATTTAGTGCCTCCATTTTTTGACCACTGATAATTTGACACACATCCATATAACTCATCAACTTGATTTAAGCAGCGTGATTGAAAAGCTTTTACGCTTTTTATAGGAATTAAAAATTGAGACCTTTTCCTTAATACGTCCCCCTTGTTAAATACTCACTCCCTTGCACTGTTATGCGACTATATTACTCCGCTTTTTGAACGACCAATTCTTTAATCCGAGTAGAAGTCTATCTCAAAAAAGCATACTGATGAAACTTGAAATTTCACTCTTATAAATTTATATTTTATTGTATGACATTGTGGAATACTAAAACATTGTCACAGAAACTTGAAACTTTTTTTAAAAAATGATGAAAAGTGGGTTTTAATTTCCTTGACTTAATTTTCTTTTCGCGGTACGTTTTGCATTTTCACGATCTCAAGCAGGGGTATTAAATATTTTGCTGTCGACTAAAATAAAATTTGTCAAAATTCGATCTTCCGCTAATTGTGAATTAAATAAACATCAATCAAAATCTTAAATAATATGTTTTTTAATTACAATTATGTCCAATTATACTTCTAAATTTTCAATTCCTTATAAAAAAAATTGTTTTGTGTTTGATATATTTTCTTGCTAACGTTTTTTTAGTTTAATTAGAAAAATTCGCTCCAACCTTCTTTCCAACTAGAGTTATCGTTAACGAAGCCACAAACCTTTCTTTTATTTGAAAGGACGACAATCTGATATCGCAGGTAAATCAAACATACAATGGCGTTAAATTTCTATGTAAAAAGAGAAGTTATTCAAATGTTAGCTGACCAATTGTCACAAGTTTGGGATCTACTTAACAATCTCTCTCCCTCCCCCTATGCTATCTGCTTAAGAATCTCCACCCCGATTTTAAAATACTGTATATTAGCGCTATTCTGTTGAGAATGCTAATTTTGCTGCAGTGATTGATCGAAAAATCTACAAACTTAGTCTAATAAACAGTCCCCCTTTCTCGAAAGGAGGGATTGTTATGCAGATCCGAAGTTTGTTTTGAGCCTAATTAGACACTGTTAGTCCTAACTCGCAGAAGAATAGATAGAAAAAAGGAGCTGTCATTGCCGAAATCAATATAGGTTAGCCAATTTTTCATGAAAGTTGAAAAATACGTGACTTACACTGAAACAAAATGGGAAAAAGCTACCTCTTCTTTGGGGGAGTCGCGGCATACCCTAAACAGACCCAATAAGCACAGTCCAGCATAGTAAAAGAGCGACAAACTGAGACGGAATTGCAAAAGACTGGATTTACCGAATTTTGGTCGCCAAAATCTGAGAATAAAGTAGAAAAAAAACTGAACCAAAATCGCGTACAAATCTAGTCTCGAAAATTTTATACTAATTTCATTTGTATAATCAGCTCATCCAAAACTAAAAACTATTGCTCTCCCTGGAATCGATTATTATGGCCGCTCCTGCACTTCTATCGAACAACTTGGTAGATGGAACTTGATGGTCTTCTTGTACAAAATGTTGTATTTTTAGTAATTTTTGGTCTTGTGTTGCGGGTCGTTTTTGATAATTGTTTGTGGCAAAAAAATGAACTTTACTAGACCTTACAAAACGAGTCCAAAATCCAAAAACTACATAGGTTTCTCAATAGAAGGTGCAAAAGGAAAAAATTTTTGCAAAAATTGAAATCAAATTCAGCTGTTTGGAAAAACTTAGATCAAATTATTAATAGCTTTTCGGTACAAAATTGATGAACCTACCAAAAACATGAAACTACCAAACAAAGATAATCAAATTTCAGATTTTTGAGTCATTTTAACAAAAAAAATCAAACTTGAACTTCAATTTTTAACACGAAAAATGGGACAACAAAAAATTGAATGGTGATATTGTTTTATATTTTAGATGTTTCCTTTTTTGGTACGTTTTGCGTTAATTTTTGTAATGTTTAAACCTGCCCAACAAGAAATGGTAACAAACAGTTCCAATACTCTCTGCATTACCATAACTTTGCTGTAAAACATCCAACTTCGATTGCCTACGAAAGCAAAAAATGCGTTTTTTTTCTCCCGATATGGGATAGTTAATTAGCGCGAAACGAATACGAACTTTTCAAGTCGAAGCCTCCATGTTTGTTGGCTTTGGTTACTTAGAAGAATTTATCCCTTCAAATATCATGTCACTTATTAACAAATTCGGTCATAAAGAAGCTGTCAGGTAATTTTTGAGAATTATCGGGCTTGTTTACAGTGTATTTAGCAGCTTTTGTGTGACCTAACAGCTGGGGCCTAGGAAATTAGACGATAAGCAAATTACACGGATGCAACAAAAACGAAATTAGACGGAAGTTATTTTTTACAGATCTGGCATTTTAGACGAAAAAGCTATGAAGAGGAAAGGGCCAAAAAATTTTTCTTAAGAGTCAAGTTTCACAAATACAAAAAGAACATAAAATGTCAATACCTATCAAAACAATTAGTTTAAATGATCAAAAAAATGTCAAATCCGAATACTACAAGAGAGTTTTGATTTGAACAAATTATGCATGATTGACTTGTAAAATTTAACTGCTGTCAACAAATAATTTTTTTTTCTCGCGCAGCTTGTCTGCAAACAATTTAATTTCTCTCACTTTCGTCTATTTTCTCACAATTGCAGTTTTGCAGAGCCGTCTATATTCCTTTTAAGTACCTCCCTCTAATTTGCTTATCGTCTAATTTCTCAACCCCCCTAACAGCTATTAAAGACTGTAAACAAGTTCGTTCTTTTGACCAGTTTGTTTATTCATTCAGCATACAGTGCTGATTTAAATTAACCGCGCAAAACGCGTTAAACTTGAAATTTGAAACACGTTGTTCTCAAATTGGGTTGAGTTCAGGTGAAAACTTATGAACACAAAACTTGCTTAAATTTTTAGCAGAATTAATATGGTGTAATTTGTTTTGCGAAATTCGGGCCCGAAATTTTACCCCAAAAATCGATCATTTTGGTTTTTCTTAGTTAATCAAAAATTACGCCAAAAATACCCAGTTGATCACAGACATAATTATATCAAAGTGAGCCCCTTACATAGCCCAACAAACTTTAAGAAGGGTATATTCTCCAATACATTGTATAAGTTAATTTATTTTTGTTTGATAGACAAAAAAATTCGTTTTTTTATATAAAATACCAACGTTTATTTAGAAACCATTTTTAAATGATTTGCAATTTTTTTTTGGAGAAAATACCCTCCTTAAATATTGTTCGCCTACGTAAGGGGCTCACTTTGATATAATTTTGTCTGTGATCGACTGGGTATTTTTGGCGTAATTTTTGATTAACTAAGAAAAGCCAAAATGACCCATTTTTGGGGTAAAATTTTGGGCCCGAATTTCGCGAAACAAATTACACCTTATTAATTCTGCTAAAAGTTTAAGCAAGTCTTGTCTTTATAAGTTTTCACCTTGAGATTTGAGAAAAACGCGTTTTAAATTTCAAGTTTAACGCGTTTTGTCCGGTTAAATTAAATCAGCACTGCACCACATGAAGCGGTTGATTCTTCTGATACACAGGGAGGCTTCAAACTATCAAGTTCACATTTAACTCACGCTACCTTATTTACTCATGGATAGTACATGGATTCTCCACAGATTATCGGGACATTTTATCGGGACCTACGCGTTAAGGGAGCACTGCCAGCAAAGTTTTCGTGCAATAGGCAACCAGGGCAAATTTTGCAACTAAAATGACATTGGATAAAAAATTTTCTACTGCTGCAAGGGTATTTGATACACTAGGTATCATAGCCCCAAAAGTCATAACGCTCAAAATTTTTCTGCAAAACCTGTAAAGTCCGTCATTGACTCAAATGAACCCATTCCAAAAATTTCTGCGCCGCAGGCAAAACTTGAAAAAAAAACCGGGCAAAAAAGGCGTTTTAGGTACTTTTTGGAAAATGTTGACCAAAAAATCGTGTTTTTTTGGCGCGCACTCCCCCCCTCCAAATTAGTATATATTGGCGCCAAAGGCGTTTTTAGAAAAATTTTAGGGTCCGTCAGCAAAAATTGATATCTCAAAATAGTACAAAGGGGGTCGAATCCCTGAGGGAGGGGGGGGCGATGTTTTTGATGTTTTTAAGTAACTGATTAAAAAACAGCTTTTTAATTTATGACATTAGTGAAATGTCAACCCCTAAATCTGCACTTGGATGTGCGCATAAAACTTTTTGAAAGAATGTTGTTTTCATGTTTTCTGATCAAATCTGAATTGGACATCGCTTATCAACCAAAGTTAATTCTTTTTTTTTGTAACAACGTTTTGACTTTTCTTGGATCCCTCTGGCGTGGAGTCGGTTTTGTCAATTTTCTAATAAAAAACTGCACAGATTTAATTGCGTCAACCTGGTTCTCATAGAGTAGCCAAACTGAGATGATCAAATTAGCCGATAACTTAACTTCAAACAGCCGCCAGTCGTTGACTTCATGTTTTGCAGTCATCTTGAGCCATATTTATGCTTTTTGCAGCTTGCGATGGCGCTGAAATTAGATATCAGCCTTTAAACTCAAATGGTGATGATTATATAGTTACTCGCTCCGGGATAAAGAATGATTCAAATGAATAGCCTTTTACGAATCAATTTCTTCCTCATAATCAGATAGATTAGATACAAATTCATATCCAGACTGTTTCGTAGCAACCCTAAAAACTCCCCTTTTTTAAACTGAGCCTAATCATCATCTTTATTTTAGCTTCTTACAATATATTCCCTTGTGCATTCAATGATTTCTTTTGCCATAATAAAAAATCCGATTAATTATTTCTTGAACTTCATTGTTGTATATCCTTGTAGATTCAAAGAGCTTGTTTGATGCGCCAGAAAATAATTCGATGTATGAATACAGACTTCTGATGAAATTGTTACCTGGTGCCCAAAAACAGTCTGATTAGATTAATTCAATTGAACCTTTTTGTTTTTTGGATGTATCAATAAGCTTATCAACATCTTGGCATACTTTCCTTCTTTTTCAGCACAAGCGACACTTGGCCTAATTCCATCAAAAACATGTTTGAAGATCTGACAATATTGTTCAAAAACTATCAGGTCAGACTTGTCATTGCGTCAACCCATTGCTTTGATCAGAGTCAGAGAAAAATTTCCTTAAAATTTAAATAATTATTGTCAACAGCTATTGACTTGCTGTGTAGTTCCATTAAAAATAAATCAATAATTTGAAGAAAAGGCGGAAAAATTTTGCATCAAGCTTTTTATATTCATTTCACTCCAGTAAATTTCTGCTTTTCGTACAAAATTGAAATTGTTTGATTTTCAAGTATTTAAAGTATTCATACTTCAAATGCAGCAGTTTTAATTCAGTCCGCCCACAAAAATTTACCCAAAAAGCATTGAATCTTTCAAGTTTTACTGCATAATATCGTGTATTAAAACACTCTATAAAAACGATTTGAAGATTTACAGCTGGTTAATTTCAGCCATAATCTCACCTGAGCAAAGGTGGTGTTTGTTTGCTTACATGTACTGCAAGTAGATTGTTAAGTGTTATTTTATTTCAATTTTTGAAAGAAAATTCAAAAATTCCCTCCCTGTAAACCGAGATTGTCGCTGTGACTTCAGAATAATGACTCTGATTACCTATTAATCATAGCATTGTGCACAGTTCCATGTTTTTCTCGACCTCCGTCACACCTGCGTAGCAGAAACAAACAAAGACAAACAAAAAGGTAAGAAAAAGCGAAAATGTGAGATAACACTC